ATGAGCGACTACATGCTGCAGTGCCTGCGCAACGACTGCCGAGTTGCCCACATTCTAACTTGTGCTGATTACTGGGTGACCACCCTGCTGGATCCCCGTTACAAGGACAACGTGCCATCCTTAATTCGCTCACTGGAGCGTGATCGGAAGATGCACCATAGCAAGCCCACGCTGGTAGACACGCTGCTGAGGGCATTCCCAACTAACACCGGGGGCTCAGTGGAAGCACAAGGCGAAGGCAGAGGAGGAGGAAGAGGTTGCCAACGCAGCTGGGGCACCGTCAGCACCTCAGAAGGCAGGGTTAGCATGGACGAAATGTGGAAAAGCTTTGTCAGCATGCCACAACAACCAGCACCACCATCTGATATGGAACGTCTTAGCAGGAGGCAGCATTTCAGCAACATGGTGGAACAGTACGTGTGCACACGCCTACACGTACTGACTGATGGGTCTGCCCCATTCAACTTCTGGGTCTCCAAATTGGGCACATGGCCTGAGCTTGCCCTTTATGCCTTGGAGGTGCTGGCCTGCCCTGCAGCCAGTGTATTGTCTGAACGTGTGTTTAGCACGGCAGGGGGCGTTATCACAGACAAGCGCAGCCGCCTGTCCACAGCCAACGTGGACAAGCTCACATTTATTAAAATGAACCCTGCATGGATCCCACCAGACCTGTCTGTACCTTGTGCAGAATAGACATTTATACTGGCCTCACCCAGCCATTGTTATACTCAAGTGCACTTATTCTTTGTTTTCTTTTTGTATATGTCCCAATATTTTGGGGGCTACCCCAATAATAAAAACAAATTAAAAAAAACAAAAAAAAAAACAAACAAATAAAAATCAGTGTTGACAACCTCCTCTCCTCCTTTACCGCCGCTTCCACCTACACCGCCATGGTATATACCCAGATATATCAGAGCTGCTGCAGAAAGTGCGGGCTGTCTGTGCGCACTTTTGGCGTTCTCACCCTGCTGTTGCTCGCCTGTCTGCGCTGCAGCTTAACTTCAGCCTTCAGCCTTCAGCATGCACGGGTCAGAGTTTTCTTTTTTTTATATGTCCCAATATTTTGGGTGCTCCCCCAAGCATTAAAAAAATAAAAAGCAGTGTTGGCTACCCCCTCCTCCACTGCCACTTCCACCTACACCGCCATGGTCACCGCCTCCTCCCTTATTTCAGGTGCATAGGAAGCGGTACCATACTAAGTTCGGCACCCTACCCTATGAGAGAGGGTCATGGAGGCGAACCAAAGGAAAGTGTGAGAAACAAGAATAGAGTAGAGGAGAAGAAAGAAGAGGTAAGATGGGGTAAGACGCGCGCCCCCCCATCCCGCCACCCCAAAGCTCCTCTGTACCACCTAGGCACCCAGCTGACTCCCATCCCATGGCTCCCAAATCTTACGGAATGCTCCTGAGGACCCCTGTAGTCTAGCCGTCAGGTCGTCCATAAGTCGCACCTCCCTAATCCGTGAGTATACACTTGCCAGTTGTGGTGCTTCTGGTTTTAACCATGTGTATGCTATCGCTCTCCTTGCTGCCAAAGTGAGCTTATGGAGTAGTGTTTGCTCCCGTCTTGTCCATCCGTCTACCGATCTATTGAGGAGATACACCCAGGGATCTAAATCTGGGGCTCTGGAGAAAGCCTATGTCAGAAGGTCCTTTATGGCCCCCCAAAATCCCGTGATTCTTGGACATCCCCACCACATATGCAGATAAGTCCCCTTGTTCCCGCACCCTCTCCAACATTCGTCCGTGGTACCATCGGAACATTGTTTTGAAAGATTGTTCTTGTATTGTTACACATACCAAGGTTGTTCTACTAGCCTCCCATATCTCCTGCCACTCTATTCCTTCAAGTTCCTCTCCCAGGTCTCTTTCCCATTGTGTAATATAGGTCATCTCCCCCCATTCCCGTGTGTCAGAGCAGAAGTGTGTGTAAAGTCGTGTTATGAGTCCCCTCGGTATACACCCTGAATAGCACATGGATTCAAAGAACGTCAGTGTCCCCTGTGCGATTGCTTTTATATGGGGTTGTCTGGCATAGTCCTTAATCTGCAGAAATCGGAAGAAATCCGCAGGTGTTAGGTGTCTGTCTTGTCCGAGTTCATCAAAAGTAATTATGTCTGGGCCCCGGTAGAGGTGGTGTAGTCTCTGCAGGCCCGCATGTTCTAGGTTCCTAAAATTCCTTGCCGCCATTCCTGGGGCAAACGCCCTGTTACGTAGTATTGGAATAAGGAGTGAGGGACAGGACGCCAACCCATATTTCCGGCTGCAAGAATCCCAAAGCCTTAGGGAGTTCAAAACCGCCGGACAGGTGACCCTAATCGGAGGCCTATGTTCCCTGGGAACCCACATCACAAACTGGGGTAGATCTATCCCCATTTCCGCTCATCCGGGGGTGAATGCCAGAGTGCCACCTGAGCTAGTTGTGCCGCTATATAGTAGTGATACAAGTCAGGAAGGCCGAGCCCAACCCTCGTCCTTGGACTGTACAGGATGTACCTGGATATGCAGTGTTTTTTATGCTGCCACACAAAATTCCCTATCGCTCGTTGGAGTGGGGTAAGTTGTGCCCTGGTCAGGGGGATCAGTAGAGCCTGGAAAAGGAGCAGGGCTCTCGGTAGGATGTTCATCTTGACAGAGTGAATCCGCCCTATCCAAGATATTGGCTTGTCGATCCATCTGTATATCTCTCGTCAATGCGTGCCATAACGGTGTATAGTTGCATGCATACAATTTGTCTGGGTCCGGGGCGGGGCCGGGCCGCCGAGCAGCATGGCAGCAGAACACTGTGGCTCCGAGCTTAAGCCCTAAACAACGGCATAAAACTTACTCACAACTTGCCCCAGGGCCGGATTGCATGCTGCACTACAATGGGGTACTACCCAAGCACCCATATGATACCAGATTACAGCCCCCAAAAATTCACAGGGAACACTGAGACTGCTGAACCGGGCCTACACGCCTGCATAAGCCTGCATGAGGACAGCTGCAGACAGAGAATAGACGCCTGATTGCATGGCCGGAGGTACAAGCACACCAACTATGCTATGCACATTGGGGGAGATCTACACGGGTGAGAGCTGCGGCCCGGCCCCCCCCCCCGGCCGGTGGGGGTAATCCCGGCTACATGGAGGCTGCACGCCCTGGGGTGGAGACAGCCGCCCGGAGTGCTCGCTGACCTCCTGCACAGGCAATGGCTGCCAACCCGTGGCCCGCCCGACATCTACACTCGGAATTAAGAGACGATTATTGCCTACGCTACAGGATCGATACGTACCCTGGACTTAACGGCCTACAATAGCCCTGCTTTGCCATCAGAAGCTGTCCTGTGGATGCAACACGCGCGAGTGAGGTGGGGCCCCGGGGGCGATGCACGTGGGCGGGGGAGCCAGGCGGGATGCTGCTGCGGTGTCCTTGGGGCACACTGGCCGGATGCCGCGACCCTTGGACTGAGCCCTGCGGAGACCGAAGTGCCGTCACCTGTGGGTTTTGGGGAGGGCCTGCAGGCAGCTGTCCCCGACGCTGTGAGCCCTCGTGGAGTGGAACGCGGCAGCCCCCGGCGGACCGGTGGCTATGGGGAGGCCGGCGCCTGCCCCGAGTGGCCGGAGAAGGATGAGACACAAGACGGCTTTCACCCTGACCATCTGGGACCCCAGTGGTGTAGTGGGGGTGCAGGGGATTACTGACTGGCACACGGACTTTAGGTGGTGGGGCCCGTGGACTGTTGGGTCCCCGAGTGCCCGCTGTGCTGCAGAACTCCCGGATGGAAGCATGACGCGGCCTGGGGGGACGCCGCGGAGGCCTGGCGCCCCTGGGATCAGCCGCAAATGCATCTGCAGTCGGCTCCCCCTACTTGGGGGGGGTCGCGTCCGTGGCCCCTCAATGCTTGTGGACTGAGTTGATACACGCTGTTCATGACAGGCAGCAGTAAAAATTTTTTGTTTTGTTTTGTTCTGTTCTTGTTTTTTTGTCGTTTATTCACCATATAGAGCTGTACATTATGCAGCATCATGTTTTATATACGTTATGCTCCTGTCTTATGCTTGATGGTCTTTGAGGACTGAAAAGCCTCAGTAATAGGTTCATGCTATAATGTTGCCTGCTTAATATATTTTACTAGTCTTGCATACACTGTCCATGCAGCAGTGCTCATATGAGCTTAAGTTTAAGGCCACAAATTCTTAGATAATCTTATATTTGTAACTTAGATAAGTTTTGCTTACCTCCCCTGCGTGGGATGACCGCTTATCCAACATCGCAACTCTCACAACATGTGCCAAACTATTAGGCCAGAGGGCAAGAGAAATTCAAGCTCAACATACTGCTGTATACTTTATTTGACTATTTAGATAATGCCTCATGTTAGCAGATAATTCATAGAATCAATATCGTTAAATATACGTAACATATGCTTATATACTTAAACTTTTCCGCCCTACCAGGCACTGACTGTTTTGAAATTGATCCATATTATGCTTGATGGTTAATGCCTTTGACATATGTTAACTATGATTTGCTTACTTCCCCTGCGTGGGATGATCGCTTGTTGAATGAACCAATAATTCTTTGAAAGCTGTAGTGGTCCTGGTGACTATCGTGTCCCTTTAAGAAATGTATTTTTGTCGTTGAATATAAAGCTATGCTATCATCTGTGGGTCAGTTTCTCACTTATTGACTCCAGGGTCTCCTACTTGTTTGTGTTCCTCCTCCAGTGACATCCAGTCTACCTTGCAAGTTAATATTAAAATATAATATACTTTCTGGTAACCAAGTGGATTCCCTATTCCCAAAAAAGGAAGACAATTATCAATATATATTCCAAAATTTTCCAGTATCATATCCAAAAAAAACCTCTGTAATTGGCATTATATTGGACACCAGAATCCACATTGCAGTGGTACTTCTCATTCCACACTACACCAATCAGAGCTTGGTATTTATTTATATTTACACAACACCATATAGATATATATTATCAGTGTTATAGCTAGATTCCTTAATTGTTCATATGTTCTACCAATCTATTATTTTGTGCCACGAGTCATAAAATACATTAAAACATTTAACTAAAAAAATACAATAATTATTGTTATATACCTTTGCTTTGGATTTACCAGTTGATTCTTCATCTCTGCAGTGTGTTTTTTTACTCACATGCAGTCAAAAAATGAGTATTGTCTGAAAATAACTTGTCACATAACTTGTCAAAAAATAAATAAATCCATAATTCAGCTATAGTCATAGCTTTGTATATGATGCCTCAATATTTAAAATCAGTACAATTTGGCAGAGGCTAGATTTACCACATGACAAAAATTCACCACTTTAGTCTCATAACTTGGGAGACTGTTCTATACCCTGTATTAAAGGGACACTATAGGTACCAAAATCACAGTGAGAAGACGCTGACGTCCATAGGAAAGCAATGAGTAATGCTTTCCTATGGGCGGTTTGAATGCGTGCACGACTCTTGCTGTGCATGCACATTCAGCGCTGACGTTGGCAGGGGGTGGAGAGTTCCCCAGCACAGAGGGAACCTGGCACTGGAGCAAGGTAAGAACTACATAGTGCCAGGAAAACAAGTTTGTTTTAATGGCACTTTAGTGGTCCTTTAAGCTAAAGTTGTTTATATACCTATAGTATGCTTTTAAGACTATTCATTATGGAGCATTGGATCCTGCCTTAAAATAGGAGACAATAGTGATGAAGTATTAAGGAATATCTTAATCCCAACTAATCCCTGGTGCCTAGGAATTTTGCCTTTGCGTCTGGGATATGTGAGCCGGTTACCTCTGAGGCAGGCGGCAAGTTGGGGAATTATGGAGGTGGGCGGCATGCTGGGGGGTCGTGGAGGTATGCGGCTAGCTGCGCGAATAGTAGGCGGGCGGTGAGGGAGCTGCGATGTCTGCACGATCCCCAAGCATGCCACCCGCCTGCACTGACCCCAGCTGGTCACCAACTGGACCCCACTGGTATTAATACAAGCAATAGGGCGTGAGTCTGTGTCAGTGTGAGTGTATGTCTGTCATTGTGAGTGTATGGGTCTCTCATGATGTGTGTGTGTGGGTCTGTCTGTCATGGTATACATGTCTGTCTGTTTGTCATGGTATGTGTGTTGAGGGGACCAGACTTCTTCTGTTCGCAAGGGAATGGTGTTTATACTCACCTTTTATTCCCATGTCGTGCTGGTCTCCCCTCAACTGGCCCTGCCTCTATGGCTGAGATGATCAAGCTTCATGATCTCAGCCAATTCAATGTTTTCCCATAGGATTGGCTGCAAAACACTGCACCAATCCGCATCTCCTCATAGATATGCATTGAATCCATGTATCTCTATGGGGAACAATCAGTGCCTCCACTCAGAGCGTGAAGACGCTTAATGTAGGTGCTGCACACTGTGCAGCACTGACACAGGAAGCACCTCTATTGACCACCATTGTCACTAGAAAACAATGTAAACACTGCCTTTTCTTTGAAAGCTGTAGTGGTCCTGGTGACTATCGTGTCCCTTTAAGAAATGTATTTTTGTCGTTGAATATAAAGCTATGTAAGTTTTTTAAAAATCTGGCTCCTAGCTTTTTAAGCTGGCTCCTAGATTCAAAGTGAATTTGTCAATCCCTGATGTAGGATTACATTATAATAATTTTTCATTACATCTCATAATCATTGACTACATTATCTATATAATGCATAAAAAATATTGGTACGCACCAAGATGGAATGTCAATTTTATAAAAGAACCAATCTTTACGGATGAAAAGCAATAAGTCCAAAATCTATGCAAAGAAAACCAACATATTTACACTGCTGCTGAAATCTACAATTTATTATTGCAGTAATTACGGAAATGGATTTTGGTATGGTGTTTGGCACCAAAGTCCATTGCATCTAGGTAGCAATTAACAAGAATTAACAGTTTCTTAGTATTACTGTACATGAAAACTTCAGATGTTCAGAAAGATGGCATATTCAATATCTGTAGACTACTTTTTCTTTCCTTTCTTCCCCTTTTTTTTGGGTGCTCCAGGCCAGCTGAAGCCCCGGAATTCCAAACAGTCCACGGCATTATGGGAGATATAGTAAGCATTTAACATGGCAGCTGGACTGAGTATATCAACCTCTTGTTTGGGTGTTTTGCTTTTTTTTGACTTCTTAGATTTCTTAGACTTCTTGGCTTTGCCGGAACCTTTGGATTTGGCACTTTTAGTAGGCTACAATGAAAACACAAAATGAAAAATATGCATAGCAGTAATAGTTTTTTTTTTTTAAAGTGATATATGGCACAGTGGAATTTCTAGTTAGAAAATAAAAGTGAAAATTAAAGAGCTCCTTTAACTGGTTACTCCAACCAAAAACAGTGTTTTATAAAACAAACAAAGAAAAAAGACTTACCTGCAATGCAACACTCGGACCAAGTTCTCCCTGCAGCCCAATCCTTCCCTTTGGTGATGTCACTCTCTAGAGAGGGAGAGATGTCCAGAAGGACAGGCTGAGGGGAGGAGTTGGGCATGCAGTGTGGGGATGTTGTGCCGCCATTGGTTATCTGTTGCCATCCTGCTAAGCATGCTCATGACAGATGCCAAATATGTTTCATATTATAACGCTGCCCATATAGACTCCAAGCACCATGACCACTTCAAGTCACTGAAGTGGTCATGATGTTTAAAGTAACCGTCTAACTCATTTTTGGAAAAACCTCATTACTAATTAGTTTGTGATGCATTGCTATACACCACCAACATTTTTAAAAATAAATTGGCCGCGGGCGGCGAGGGAGCAGTGGGCAGTGATCTCTCTACTCAGCTCCCTCTCGCGCACAGCAGTGATGCTGGAGCCAGAATATGACGTCACTCCGGCTCCGGCATCACTAAGAGGCGAACGAAGGAGATGAGCTCTCTCGCCGCCCACACGCCAGCCGTTTAGCAGCTCCCCCAGGGACTGCACACTCAGCCCAGCAGCCCCACGGGACTGGAATGCTCAACCCAGCAGCCCCAGTGGACCAATGGGTCATAGAGACTCCATGCCAGCACTCCCAAAGGTAGGGGGGCTGTGTGGAGTAAAAAAAAAATGTATATGTGTCTGTTAGGGAGTTTGTATGTGTTTGTGTGTCTGTCAAAGACTATATGCTATGTTTACTGTGTATACTGCTATGTTTATAAATGGGTTAATCCAGCCTCTAGTGCAGGAGTAGGCAACCTTTTAGCAGCACTGTGCCGATATAGGAGTGTGATGTCCTGTGGCGTGCCGGTCCTATTTTTTTTTAAATTGAAGTGTTTGCTGCCGTATTCTGCTTGTGTTATTTTTACTGTAATTGCTTTGTATCGTTGTATTTGTGCGTATTTGAGCTATTAAATTGTATATGTTTTTGAGTAGTTTATGGTATTGTGTATGATACATATGAATGTGGGCTTTGTATGGGGGCTGCTTGTGGAATTGTGTGAATTGTGTGGGTGTATGGATATGTCACATTGTGTGTTTGGTAGTGTCTGGTGGCTGTTTGGGGTATTGCATGTGAGAGGCTGCATGTGGGGTTGTGTGCATGAATGTGGATTGTTAGTGGTGTTGCGTTTAAGCGGATTGTGTGTAAGCTTGTGTGTGGGCTGTCCGTATTATTTGTATGAGGGTAGGGTTATTCTGCATTTCTGTGTATATCTAGCAGTGTGGGTGGCTTCCCTGGGTTCCAGTGGGGACCAGGCCGGCCAGATACAGGTCAAGGACAGGAGCTGCAACAGCAACTGCGAGCTGCTCTACTACTGTGTGGATTCCCATTCACAAGTGCTGGAATGAAGTGCTCTGAGATCACTTCCTCTACGTGCTGCAATGCATAAATTGAGGATTGTCCTTCACCACCTCTTTGTATTAGCAGATATCTGAAGTTTTACTGGGACTCCTGATAGGCCAGAGCCTCTTTGGCTCTAGCAGCCTTGAGTGCCATGCAAAGGCACCTCGAGTGCCGTGCATGGCACTAGTGCCGTAGGTTGCCTACCCCTGCTCTAGTGGCTGTCTCATTGACAGCCGCTAGAGGGCTTCCGCGCTTCTCACTGTGATTTTCACAGTGAGAAGACGCCAGCGTCCATAGGAAAGCATTGTGAATGCTTTCCTATGGACTGGCTGAATGAGAGCGCAGCTCCTGCCGCACATGCGCATTCAGCCGAAGAAGAGGAGAGGAGGCGGAGAGAAGGAGGAGGGCTCCCTGCCTGGCGCTGGAGAAAGAGGTAAGTCTAACCCCTTCCTCACCCTAGAGCCTGGCGGGAGGGGGACCCTGAGGGTGTGGGCAAGTATGTTTTCCTTGCACTATAGTGGTCCTTTAAACACACACTTTTACTAAATAACAAATACATTTATATATACACTCAGAAAATACAGTGTTTACATGAGAAAGGCTGCAGGGAGCTATAGTTCTCACCTGAACAACCTCATTAAGCTGAAGTTGTTCAGGTGACTATAGTGTCCATTTAAATATTCTGTTTTTGCAAGTATCCATCTGTTAAAACATTTGTAAAGATTCTGATAAAACTACTTCGTAAGGCTAAGAATTCCACAACCTTATTGTTCTTATGATAAAAAAACACAAACATTTTTTCCTTAGACTAAATCTTCTTTCTTCCAGTCTAGTGAAAGTAATTCTTGCGCATTATACTTCCCCATAGGAAAGCATTGAATCAATGCTCTCTTATGGGAAAAAATCTGACGCTGGGGGTGCGTGAGGACATCCAGCGTCAGATACCGGACCAAAGATCTGTTTCAATTCAGGAAGCCCTCTAGTGGCTGTCTAATAAATCAGTTTTGTGTGTGCAATCTCAGCATCTGTACCTCACTGGCATACTAAAAATCAGTAACAATCTTATTTTTGAATAAGACAGTGGCACTTATTTTTAAATAAGATAAAATATTACTTTAGCTTGGTGACACATTCTTCATTAGTAAAATTAATTCAATTAATTCATTGACCTATTCGTCAATGACTTATGATTCAAATAAATCTAGTGCCATTAGTGTAAGCTCATATGCGACATCAAGGCAAGACCTCTTAGGAGGGTCCTACACTAACAATTCACCTTGCTGCCTTTAGCTAAAAGGTAAAATCTCTAATGAGACAGAGAGGGATATTTTTCTAAATCCCTACATACTTGTTAACCCTTAATGGGGAACACTTGGGGTGGGCAGCAGCATTATAACATGGCTGTGTAAGACAAAATTAAATACAAATACACAAAAATAAGTCCTGTGCTCAAACTCCCACTACTCCTGGCCAGGAGCAATGACTATAGTAAAAATGTTACTTGCGACTACAGTCATTGCTGCCTCCCAGGAGTAGTGGGAATTTGAGTACAGAGCTTAATTTTGTATGTTTCTTGCTTTTGAATTTTTTTTACGGTTACTGTAAAAAGAAAATAGTGAGTGTGGACCTACGTGGTATCAAAGAGATTAGATGTAGATCTGATGCCTGGGAAAATTTACTACATTCCGATATAAGTATATTTAAAAGGCATTTTTAAAATACTAATAAAAAAAAGTTTTGAAAATCCACCATGAAGTGTATTTTTATACACATTAGTTTACTTTATTTATCTTATGTAACATCCTTACCAAGAACACTATGCTGTAATTAGCAATAACCCACCCATCAATAAGTGAATTATTAGTGCACACAGCACTATAATCTCATACTTTCTTAATATAAGCTGACTCTAACCTAACACCCTGGCAGCGAACAGTGTAATACTGATGTGTGCCTGGTGATGTTCTTACCATTATACCATGGAGGATTCACCCCCTGGGAGGGTATCCCTGTCTCCAGTGATTTCGATTGCAGCTCAAACCACAGCTATAGTTACATCCTGCGTCGCCATGGAAACATAGAACCCTGAGACAGCGCGCACACTGCTGGTAACTGAGACGCGCCTCCTCGAACAGCGTTGCTAGGGGCAACGCGTCACATGACAGACTGAGCTCTGTCTCCCGCCATTTCCACAAGGCTATCACGTGGGAGGCTTTTCAATGTATAGTTTGTGTTATGGTCAAGTTGGCAACCTAGGGCCACGTCATAACATTGTATGTGAAGGAGTCATGTATAACGTCTGGCCTGCATGCATTCACACTGACTGTTATAGATTCATTCATAGAATACAGCTCACTGACAAGGATACCCTGCACAACCTTGTGACAGTACAAAAGGAATCTTTTATTGGTTCATGTGGTCATTTTTTATATTAAAGACATTTATATCACATATAGGTTACTAAAATTTGAACTAGGTTACTGAATATACAACTAAAAGTAGCTTTGTGCTTTATGCTAAGTTTTGCTACATTCAAATGTGTTAGTATTTGTATATTCCATAATAGCAACATTTAGATTTGATTCTTTAAAAATTAAATAGTGCATCCCTGTGTGAACAGGACACATTCGAATAACTGATGTTAAAGGAATACTCCAAACACCATAACCTCCGTGCCTCCAACCCATTATAAGGAAACAAATCGTTTCACATGCTTTGATGGTCTCTGCCTCCACCAGAGTGCTGGAAATTCCTAAGTATATCTCACTGGTTGAGGGACACCCAGCTGTCCAGTATTTTGGTGGAGGCAGAAAGTGGAAGCCAGCAGATCCCAGGTAAGAAATCAAACACTTCGAAAACCTTATTACAATGAGCACTTTTAATATTTTATATATATGACTATATATACAGTTAATCTTTGGTCTTTGCACTTGCTTTCTCACATTCTTTATTTGCCTAGTTGTATTTTTATTTTTTTTTAGTTGCGCAGGTGAGTACAGAAATAATGACAAACGTCACAACAGCGTACATGTGTATATAAACAGGCCAAACAGTGGCATAGACAATAGCGCATTTTTTGTTTTTGTGAGTACAGGCTTATTTTAAAGATGAGCTTACTACGTTAAGTTACATGCATAAAAACTAGGTATTGCAGGCTTTAAATTTGAGTGCGATATGCTAGCTTAGACATCATGCGAAAGGCAGGTGTGGAGATAAATCGAGTCAGGCATACTGATGCTATAGTGTAAAGGAGTGCGAGCTGGGTATCACACCATGTTTAGACAGCTCTTAGGCATTTCTGCCTCATGTATATTATTAAGTATGAGAGTAAGCTAGTTTAATTTGCCAAGGGCTTAGTAGATTAGGCTATGCAATGTCTTGCTGCAGAGATGACAAAAGGGTAAATAGTGGTTTAACTGTGAGGTAATTATACTAGGCATACTGCCTATAGCTTAACTTTGGACGATCTGCAAAGGGCAGAGGGTCAGACCCCAGCCACCAGCGAGACATGCTCAGTGTTCAATGCGTGGGCCCCTGAGGACCCGGATCCATCACACGGCTCCCCACACCAATCAGTGCTACCCCACCGGGATCCCGCGGCACAGCAGGCACTCGGAATATCCGCCAGTCCATGTGCCTCCCCCCCCCAGAGTCCACAGACCGGCCATCCCCTCCACCGCATCAGCAGGCTCCAGTAGGTCGTAGCAAGGGCCTCCACACGTCTCACCCCTAGTTGTATTTTTTAATATGATCTGTCTATTATTACAACAGATAGTGTACTAGCAGACAGGGCTGGCCTTAGGTTTTTAGGCACCCTGTGCGAGCCAATCTTGTGGCACCCACCCCTCCCCCAGTCATCTAGACATACACAAAGAGAAAAAAAACCTTTGTAAGAAATAATTTGTTTTAATTACAGATAATGGAAGTGCAAGTGCAAACAAGTACAATAATAAATAACTGGATAGACTGGTAACAATAATGTACATTAAATATAGGAAAAAATGCTAATTGTGCAATCTTTATAACAAATAAATATTTTATATTAATTGGTGAAAAATTATGTGCAAGTGCAAACAAGTACAATAATAAATAACTGGATAGACTGGTAATAATAATGTACATTAAAGGGACACTATAGTCATCAAAACAACTTTAGCTTAATGAAGCAGTTTAGGTGTATAGAGCATGTCCCTGCAGTCTCACTGATCAATTCTCTGCCATTTAAGAGTTAAATCACGTATAGCCTCTCCCTCATTTCTTCACCCCACGTCTCTGTTTGGCCCCTTCTAGACAATTTCAGGCACACAATCTGCCGCCTCCACCTCCTTTACCAAAACCCCAGGCCTCCCCTTCATCATAACCCCTGCCCCTTCACCAAAACCCTGCCTGCCCTTCCCAGTCCCATGGCCCCATTCATCAATCTCCTGCCCCTCTTTATCAGACCCTGTCACCTTAATCAATCTTCTACCCCCTTCACCCCTTCCAATAAAAGGAAATATATTTAGGTTAAAAAAAAAAAAAAAAGCATTAAGAACTAGGACTCACTTTTCTGGCTGCTGCTCCCTGGATTGAGCTTCCCATTCCGCTGCATCGCCGATTTAAGAGCACCGGCCGCCGACCTCACACGCACCAAGCGGATCCTGCCGCGGCTCCCTGTGAAGGCGGAGCATGTGGACGTTGCGCCCTCGCGCTGCTCCTCCTCCACGCTCCAGACCTCTTTATTCTGCAACGGATCCTGGCCACGGCTCGCCTCTCCCCTCATAATTAACACTATGCACTTGACTTGCTCTGGCATTTGTAAACCCAGCACTTAACTCGGGCTGGCCTCTTTGTGATCGACTGCGATCTGTGTTGCCCGCCCCATCGCCCCTGTTGCCATGGAGCCCTGTGCGGCCGCACAGCTCTCACACCCCAAAGACCGGCCCTGCTAGCAGAGAAGCAAGAGATCTCTTTCAGTTACATTTCCTAAGCATAATATATAATGTATTAACTTCCTCAACCATTTTTCCATTTTGTAACATTGTTAATACTTACATTTTGCACCCCATCTCAAATCTATTTTGTCTAAACGCTGAAGTAATCAGGTTTTGTAATGGAGACATTGAAAATACCTTTACACATAGTAAAATTGTAATTGTTTTATTCCTGTAATAATCAATTTATAGGATGTAATTTAACACTTATACTTTTTAAAGCACCACTGTCACCTCCTGTGGACTTTGACGAATTCTCAAACACCTCCGACAGTGACATCACCGTTGTGGGACCTTTAGCCGGGGGAGGCAGGTAAAGGTGAGATTTACTTACAAACTTGTACCGTAAGTGCTCAGCCATCTTTATTCAGTGGGTCCTCTTTGTAGCAGACGTCCCTGCTGTACTCTCACGCATGCACAAGAGCACAGAGTTGAGGTCTGTGGACGATCCCGGAAGACCACGGGATTCTTCACTTGTTATTATTACATTGGCAGTCTACCTGCCATAACACTATGGATGAACCCCACTGATGCCTTTTTGTTTCAATTTCCTTTAATGGTGACCAAAAATATTTTACTATGGTTCATCCCGATAAGAAAGTGCACTGCCTTTGTTTTGTTGTTTGGGTGACAAGTTTAATTATTTTTTTTTTAAATATTGAAATTAAAAATATATAATATACAGTGGGACCCTGGTTTATGAATTTAATGCGTTCTCCGGGACGTTTCTTGTTGCGGAAAAATTTGTAAACCGAAACGCGGTTTCCCATAGGAATGCATGGAAAACCAATCAAAAATGAGCTGGCATGGAAACTAACCCACAATGCAGAACACACAATAAAAGGCATGCAAACGACAAAGCTCAGCTCCCTACCTTTCCACAGCTTGAGAAATGCACCAAAAAGTCCCAAAACAACTGCAAACAATTTCCAGAATGGCTCCAAAACTCGATGCAAAAGCCGCTCCAACACCTCCCACACTCTACGCCACGTACTACCCACAGGCTCAAGCATGCAGGAGGCGGTGCTATACACTTTCCAGGTGCAATGCATCCTAGGGAAATTTGCTTTGTATTGCGAAAAAAATGTGTCAACAGAGGCATTTTTTTCAATGGATTTTCATATGTAAACGAGTCGTTTGTAAACCGAGGTCACACTGTGTATATGTATGTGTGTGTGTATCAGGGCCGTCTTTAATAACGAATGGACCCTGGGCAAGTGTTTGCTTGGGGCCCCTGTGCCCTGCCGCTCTCGCCCCTCACTCCCTGGTATGCAATCACGGCATCCATCCCAACGCAGTGGCGGTACTAAAGTAGAATGAATTTTATTGGGACCCCCAATTGCAAGGTTGGACTAAAGGTAGAACCCCATCTGTCGTGCAACTCCAACAATGCTTTGACAGCTGGGACTCTACCAATTTCCCATGCTTGCAGGGTTGTATTTAGCACTGAGCCATGTTAGTATGTTTGAATGTAAGCATGTGTTTGTATGGAGTATGTTTGTGTGAATGTGTTTGTATGTGGTACTGGAGTTTGAATGCAAGTGTGCATTTATGTGTAGTGTTTGTTTTTGAATGTAGGAGTGTGCTTGTATGTAGTGTTGACGTTTCAATGCAGGAGTGTGTTTTATATGTAGTGTTGAAGTTTGAATGGAGGGGTGTATTTGTATTTAAAGTTGCGGCTCAGATGCACAGGTACACACTCTGACGCACAAGCAGATACACAGATACATACACTGACTACATACAGATAAACAGGCACATACACTGACAGACACACTGACACAGGTACATATATTGACACACAGACACATACACTGGTAGACGTACTGACAGACATACTGACACAGGCACATATACAGACATACTGACACACAGACACATATACCGACATACTGACACACACACACAGACACATACACTGATCAACATACTGACACACATACACTGACAGAAATACTGACACCCACACACTGACAGATATACTGACACCCACATACACTGAGAAATACTGACACACACACACAGGCACATACACTGACACACACAGACTGATATACTGACACACACACACACAGACAGATATACTGACACATGCATACACATGCACTAACAGACATACTGACACACACAGATATATACA